GGATATATCATCAGAGAAATTTTAAAATTTGCAAAGATAAAATAATGAATATGTAAAAATATATTAACACTTTGTCCAAATAAACTCTAAAATGATAAGTAAACCTAGTCTTTCAGTGGGTAATGACTGAAAGTGTACTGTAAACTTGAATACTACAACTTTATACTTGTATCATGGTTAAATTTCTGGCTTTGTGTTAAGGTCCTATTTCTTTAAAGCTTCTTAGAGACTACATTTTATCTCAACTTTTTTCAAAGGGTTAAATTTATCCATACATTTAAAATCAGGATGAACACTTTTTCACATTTTTTGAAAGATGATACACTTTGCAAACATTGACCTTCTTTAGTTCCATAATGTAGTCAGTATTAAAAAAAACAGTAGCGAACAATGTTCCCTCTAAACTGAGCGAATGAGCGATCGCTCACTAATTTTCGAGACGTCGCTCACATTTTTCGGACCGTCGCTCACAAAAATTCCCGACCAGAAAAAATAATGGCTCTATATAAATTACTCTCACACCTGTCAATTTTAAGTTAAGCCACATCCGGCGACTTCCGCCACGTCTATATCGCTCTTGGTTCGGCAAATTCTTTTGAGTTCTATATTTCAAACTCAAAGTAGTGTAGTTCAGCGCTAAAATTAATTATTTTCTAACCATGTTTAAACGAGAAGCGGAAGAAAGTTCATGTAAGTCAGCGAAAAAACGTTGCATGAAATTTAAAACGGAGTGGTTAACCGAATGTTCTGTGGTAACGGACTTACCACATGGGACCGGACAACACGTGCTCCTTGGTGAAGTTTTTGAATACTCAGAGACAGATGACATGGTATTCTGCAAATTTTGCGTTAAAGCGCGATGTACTAATGAATGGACAACAGGAAAATCATGGAGCGACTGGAAAGTGGATCATTTTAAAAGACATTTGACGCAGAAATATCATACCGAAGCGATCACAAAGCTTAGAAACCAAAGTAGAGGACTGCTGAAAACCATACTAACGGAATCTGTACAAGAACGCGAAATTAGAAAAGAATTCGCTCAAAGAAAGCAGGCAACTCCTGATGAGGTAAAGGTTTTAATAGACAATGTTCTGCTGGCTGTTAAAATTAATTCCTCAATGCTATCAGTCCAGGATATTCATGATCACGTGGCTAAGTATGTTAAAATACCAGAAAGTTGGCGAAGTAAAAACTATGCCTTTGAGTTCATCAATTGTATAAATTCAACCATCAAGACTGGTATACTGAAGGAAATTAAGCAATCAGCTTATCACACTCTGATAGTTGATGAATCCACTGACATTTCGGTGTCAAAAATGTTAATTTTATATATGAAATTTCGGAATGAAAGTGAATCAAATCACAAAACTGTGTTCGCAGGCATTATTAAAATAACATCATGCGACAGTGTGTCGATCTTAGGGGCCATTCGAAAGTTCTATTTGGAAAATGAACTGAATTTGAATCAGATGGTAATGTTTACATCGGATGGCGCATCGGTCATGCTGGGCAAACGAAATGGTGTGGCTGCTCTTTTGCGCCAGTCCATTCCACACTTATCTGAACAACATTGTGTGGCACATCGTGAGGATCTCGGCATAGATGATGCATGGAGATGCATACCCTTGATGAAGGAACTAGAAACTCTATTTCGAACCGTTTATACTATTTTTTCCCGATCGTCTGTTAAGAAGGCAAAATTTGAGGAATTTGCTAATACTGCAGAGGCTGATGCAATTTCTTTTAGACCACTTAACGAGGTCAGATGGCTCTCCAGACATTTTGCAGTGAATGCCTTGGTCAAAAACTATGATATTTTAGTGGAATACTTGCGACAAGTTGTTGAGGAAGACAACGATCCTGTTCACAAATACTGCCTGCAGAAATTAGAAAATCCAGAATATCATGTCGCAATCGTAATATTAAATGAAATTCTAGCTGAGCTAGCAGATCTGTGTAAAATTCTGCAAAGAAGTGTTCTATCAACTGTAGAGGCTTTTCAGTTTGCAAAAGCAAAAGTCATGAAACTCAGGTCACAGTATCTCGGAGATAAGCCACATTTTCATAAAAGTACACTTGATTTGCTTTCCTCATATCATTCTCCAGTGAAAACAGATTCAATTATTATGTTCATTCAGCAGACATGTGACCACATGGACCATCGATTTCCAGATGATGAATTGAAAGATTGGCTAGTGTTCGATAAAGACTGTTTCACTGCATCTGCCAATCTAGACAATTATTCGTTTGGATTTGAGCAAATCAAGAGACTCGCAGAGAAATATTGCGGTCTGCTGAGAAAAGATGGCAAATCCCTACAAGCGGATCTTTGCAACCAATATCCGGAGTTCAAAATACTGATCAAGGAAAAATTACAAATGGGAGCAGTGACAACATTTTCAGATATAGTTTCATTTACTGCCCAACAGGATCAATTCAAGGAACTATTTTCACTTTTGGACATCTGTGGCACATTCCAGGCCTCAAGTGCTGACTGCGAAAGAGGATTCAGTCTGATGAACAACATAAAGACAAAATCTAGAAATCGTCTCGAAGTTGAACATTTGGACAATTTGATGCGAATTAAATTCTTTTTAAATTCTGGACAGATGGTGGATATTGATGCGGTCTATGACTTATGGAAAACAGAAAAGAACAGAAGAGAAACTGTTTTCAAAGCCGACTAAACAGGCTTCAAGTTGAAAACTTATAATAAATTGTTTGGTATCACTTACGTCTATTTTTCAATACTTAAATTTAAGTTCTTTAAATATACATTGCTGTAATATACAAAATTGTCTAATATGCATTTAATATATACAAAATTGTCTAGTATGCATTTAGTATTTAATATTTTAAATATTTAATATTTATTTTTATTTAATACCAAAATGCACCGCTAAAACTGGTGCTCAGAAATTGCGGGTTTAAAAAATTTGTCGCTCATACGAAAAAAAAATTGCTCACTCTTGGTCACTCCTTAGAGGGAACATTGGTAGCGAAACAACTGTTCTGAAGCAAACTGAACAATGCTGTAAGATGTCAGAATGTGTTAAAGTGTACCAGTTAATTGCTAAAACTGAAAACATTTCCCATGAAACAAGGCCCTGGATTTCCCAAGCACTGATAATCAATCAGTCACTCAGCTGCATGTTTTCCTATATATCAGCCACCCAATTAAAAAGTCTAAAAATCTAAAGTCATAAAACAATCCAGACCCTTTCCAACATAATTTTCCAACATAATTTTCAAAAAACTATGGTCAAAATTAGGTGACATACCCTTTAAAATCAAAACAGTGCTCCCAAAAACATATAATTACTATATTTAATGTCATCTCCTATTTCCAAAATACAATATCAAAATCAATGTAATTTCCTACTTCTAACCAGTATTCCAATCAATGGCATCTACTTCCACAATCCACTAATATGCCAAACAATCTTATATTTCTACTTCCATAATCAAATGATATCCCAATTAAAGACATCTGCTAGTTCCAAAATTCACAAATATCCCAATCAATGATTGGTTTGGTACTTTAAAGCACAGCAACACAAAAAGGTTATTTATTGCCACAGCAACTGAAATAAAGTGCCCTGCCCATGGACACACAATTGTAGCACACCTTGGCTGATCCAATGGTAGGATTCAAACCCTCAACCTTTTGCGCGGTTGTATGGCATGGTAACAAATGAACCACTGTGGCTTTCCAGGTCAATGTCATCTTTTGCTTCCACAATCCACTAATATCTAATTCATGTCATTAACTTCACAATCCAATGATATCAAAATTCATGTCATCTTTTACTTCCACATTCTACAAATATTCCAATCATGTGATCTACTTCCACAATCCACTGATATCCTAATCATTTTCATGTCCACTTCTAAAACCCACTGACATACTAATCAAAGACATGTCCAAGTTCCAAAATACACTGATGACCCAATTAAAGTCAGGTCCAACTTCTAAAATCCACTGACATCCCAATCATAGTAATATGCAACTACAAAAATCTACTGGAATTCCAATCAGTGTAATGTCCAACTACAAAAATCCACTGACATCCCAATCATAGTCATGTCCAACTACAAAAATCCACTGGAATTCCAATCAATGTCATGTCCAACTATGAAAATCCACTGGAATTCCAATAATGTCATGTCTAACTACAACAATCCACTGGAATTCCAATCAATGACATGCCCAAGTTCCAAAATGCACTGATGCCCCAATCAATGCCATGTCCAGCTTCTAAAATCCACTGACATCCCAATCAGTGTCATGTCCAACTACAAAAATCCACTGGAATTCCAATCAATGTCATGTCCAACTACAAAAATCCACTGGAATTCCAATCAAAATCATGTCCAACTATGAAAATCCATTGAAATTCCAATAAATGTCATGTCCAACTAAAAAAACCCACTGGAATTCCATCAATGTCATGTCCAACTATGAAAATCCATTGGAATTCCAATCAATGTTATGTCCAACTACAAAAATCCACTAGAATTCCAATCAATCATGTCCAACTACAAACATCCACTGGAATTCCAATCAATATCACTGACATACCATGCTCAATATGAAACTTCTAAACCTACCCTGTTTATCTGCTTTGACTGAACCATCTTCTTGTCTGTAGTACTCAGTGAAGAAAGCTGGAATAGCAGATGTGGCTGCTGACTGAAATATACATATTTAGCAATTTGGGTAAATAAGCATTTTTTTAAAGACAAAATGTAAGACATTTGAAACATTTAATATCATTATAGTTATTTGTTATTATCATTATCATTGCTGTTTTCATCACATATGAATCTGACATTGTGATAAATGATGCTATATGTTCTAAATATAATATAAAACTGTTACCTATTGTATACATAATCACACATAAAGAATAGTATAAGTCCAAGTAGAGACAAGCTCCAACAAGTTCTTCATTCCATGCTGTCATGCCCATTCTCTTTAAGCCTATCATGAAACTGCTACAGTGACTCAGTGGTTAATATGCTGGACTCTTAATCAAAAGTGTGCTGGTTCAAATCCTGCCACTGGATCAGCCCATTTGGCTACCATAAAATATGCATGGGTAAGGCACTTTACTCCAATTGCTTCAGCACTATAAAACCTATTTGCTGTGCCTTGAAACTAAACCAAGCCATTCTCTTGGCTGTGATTTTGCAGCATGGTAGACATTCAGCACTATAAAACCTATTTGCTGTGCCTTGAAACTAAACCAAGCCATTCTCTTGGCTGTGGGTTTGCAGCATGTTAGACATGTATCTTACATTTGAATGAATTCTACTCATCATAAACATGTAACCTATTAATTAACATGGTAATTATGAATAAAACACTTGTTGTGGTCAACTTTCTTACCTGCACATCTTTTTCCACATGATGTAAACAGTCATCAAGAACTTCTTGCCATAGATCTGAAACAAAACATGAATATCTTGACCAATATAAAGTACAGGCATGATGGAAAAATGTTAGAGTTTTCATTTGAGATGGGGATAGATAAAAAAGATCTCTCAATTCTCTTAAGTAAATTCAAAAAAGTCTCATTGTGCATGAGTGTGTATTAGTTGATGGTTTGATAGCGAGAAGTTGTTTTGTCTTGATATTTCTTCATGATATGTGCTGATGGGAATAACTGCAGCTTATTTATTTTGCATTTTAGTCTAAGTGTTATCTCCAGGCTCCCTTCTTTTAATCAAATGTAAAGGTTATTCAAACTTTTGCCAAATTTAAAATTTCTTCATATTACTTTGACAGTACTGGTTTAAAACTAATAACAGAACAAATAAAATCCAAACCTAAGATCCATAGCTTGTACTTGCAATTATTTACCTCAGAAAAATTAGGTCTCATAATTTTGTTGTTGTACAGAACTTACAGAGAGAATTTGTCTAACTTGATGTAACTATAGTAATTTCTCTGTAAGCAAAGTCCTTATACAAGGGTATATGAAAAACTGCTGTAATGTCACAGCCCCTTCAAGGAATTTAGTGCTAAATGCTATGCAGACTTATCACTAAGACTAAATGAATTAAAAATGTGAGACACGAATTGCATATACATTAAACAGCTTTGCCAGCAACTGAGATAAGACAATGCCATCTTCCCTGCAAATGTAGTTGTACATAAAAGTCTTTAGAGACACATACAGGCCAATAGTCAAACTGAAAGAGACTGGTAAACAAACAGGATTTAAGAGGCAGACTGACAGAGTAATAGTCAAACTGAAAGACAGACAAGTAAACAATCACTACTTAAGAAGCAGAAGGACAGACCAACAGTCAAGCTAAAAGACAGACTGGTAAACAATCATGACTGACATTATAAACATCTAACCGTTTTTACGACCAATGTAGGAAAAAGCAGAAGAATCTCACTAAAATATTTCTCCTGTAGGCAATTGTAACAACCCTCTGTGGTAGTACATACATAAAGTTTCTCATTATCAAAATAAAATCACAACACAGAAAGAGAAAAGAGTCTCCATAGATTATGTGAAGTATATGACAACCTCTCCTGGAAATGCACTAGTTAAATGGAAATACTGTTTCTTTCTGAGGCTGTTTTCTTTTGAAGTGACTATATCTTCTAAACAGGATACCTGAATGTATGACCTGCTATCTTGAAAATGGTGCTATCAACAACTCACCTATTATGGGATCATTATGGTATGGCAGCTTAGACAGAGACACTTTGTTGACCAGGGTACACACTGGAAGGAAACAAAAAAGGCAAAACATAAGAAATCAGTATACATAATATCAACTGGATTTAATTTTGATATTAAAGCCTTATCAACAATTGTAACATCTTTATGAAAAATCAATCCTTTTTCTTTCGAACATTTTTAAAGTTGTAAATGGCGGAAAGATTTCACATTTGCCATAGTCATATTAGTTCACAATTACTCACAACTACAAAACTGTCCACATCAAGAAAATATGCTGAAAAACATTTTTATATAACTGGCACTAAAAGTAAAGATGAATTGGTAACATGTATTCTTTGACTTTACTATGAACTGAAAGGAACCCATAAAAATATCAGGCAAAACCCCCAGGAAAAAAATAAATGCTAATCAAACAGTGTGAATAAATCCTTACCTGCCTTCCTCATCAGCTCCCCTCCAAGTCCTCTGAACAACTTGGCTTCATGAAGCTGAGATAAAGATAGCAACATATATGAATACTATGCTGTAACTAAAGTGAAAAACTGTTTTATGCACAAACTTTGTAAATGTGATTGTACAAGCAAACAATCATTGGTTTAGTTGATCTTCTAAACTTGATATTTAACTGCCAAAACATGCTAAATGTTATGTGGTGTGATTCAGTATAGACAGAACTTCCATCCTATATCAGATGTAGAGTGCATGCATAAGAAGATAAAAAATACCACAATTTGCAAGCAACAATGACCCAGATCTTCCATGGTATAACAGGCTAGTATATCAGGGTCGATATTCAATTACCCAAACAAGTTGAATAGACCCAGATCTGCCATGGTAAAATATGCTAGTAAATCAGTGTCTATATTCAATTAACCCAAACAAGTTGAATAGACCCAGATCTGCCATGGTATAACAGGCTAGTAAATCAGGGTCTATATTTATTAACCCAAACAAATTGAATAGATCCAGATCTGCCATGATATAACAAGCTAGTAATCAGGGTCTATATTTAATTAACCCAAACAAATTGAATAGATCCAGATCTGCCATGATATAACAGGCTAGTAAATCAGGGTCTATATTTAATTAACCCAAACAAGTTGAATAGACCCAGATATGACATTGTATAACAAACCAGTAGATCAGGGTCTATATTCAATTAACCCAAACAAGTTGAATAGACCCAGATCTGCTGTCTCTTAATATGGCAGATCAGGGTCTACATTATCTGTTATATTGATTAGTACCACAAAATGCATAAACCCTGATCTGTTCATACATTGTTTGAAGGTTGCTGTTCTACTGATTAATTCTAACAAACTGCACCCAATGAAAAATGGCAGATTTGGGTCTGTATTATTTGTTCTTGTATTGTTTGTTCTTGTTAGCTACTGCATAGACCCTGATATGTTGGCACATTAGGCGAAGGCAAATGTGGGTCTATACTTCTTGCAGTTTGCTGCAACATGTATGCAAGTATAATATGCAGTAGATAAGAATCATTCTGAATGAAGTATAGGTGTTGAACAATTCAACAACCAATGCTACAATGATCATAAGGTGTTTGAATTTTTAAAATACTATTAATTGCAGCAAGGAATAAAAGTCACATGCTTTTATCCCTACTGGGAACACACCATATGTTTAAATCAGACTCTCCCTAACATAAAAAACTATGCCATCATATCATGTGAACAATATATCTTACATTGACAAAACTGCATTATGTAAATACTGTAAATTACATCATTTGAATACAGTGAAAAGTGTTTATTATATAAACATTGTGCTATCATGTGACCATTGTACCATACAGTGACAAAAATTTATTATGTAAACACTGTACCATATGTAAACACTGTTCCATATGTAAACACTGTACTATATATAAACACTATCATACAATAAGTGTTTATTATGTAAACACTGTACCATATGTAAACAATGTATCATACAATAAGTGTTTATTATGTAAACATCGTGCCAACATATGTGAATATGGTACCATACAGTGATGAGGGATTATTATGTAAACACTGTACTATCACATGTGAACACAATACTATAAAGTGAAAGAAGTTTATTGTGTGTCAAGGTATCATAAGACTTTTAATGACATATTGTATATGCATGTAACTGGCTCATCTCATTTTTCAAACAACTGGTAGGGGCCAAGCGTATTAGTGCATACCATGATTCAGGATGCAACTTTTCTTATTTGTAGTTTGAAAACTTTAGGATACATTACGATGTGGTTGTCAAATTGATCTTAATCAATCAGTCCTTGGGGGTAGGACTAGGAATGTGGATGTAAGGAACAGAGTGGTGGTGACAGACTACATCTATATCAATCATACATCTTGCAAAAGGACCTTTACCTATCTTTCATCATAACATGGTGACTATTTTTCTTTGCTTCTGAACTCCTCTCGCCTACTTGACCTTACATATATGGAAATTCATTTCCTACAAGGGGCCCTTAGTGGCCAAGTGGTCTAAAGCGCTGACCGTTATGGATCACTGCCATCTCACATCTGTCTTTGTGAGTTCGAGTCAAGGCTAACATGGGTAAGAGAAAAAGCCTGCCAGTAGCTTCTCGTGGGTTGGTGATTCTTCCCGGGGGTTTTCCAGGGTTCTTCCTCCACCATTAATACTGGCTGCCATGTATAGCCTATCTTATGCTGAAAAATGGCGTTAAACATTACATTTCCTACACATGGTCTGAGATTTTTTAAATATGCATGATTATAATAAGAACTACTTGTCTGCATAATTTGGTCATCGTTTTGGCCCATTTTCTATTGTATTTGAATGGGAAATGTTTGATGGGATCTAGTTTCTTTGTATTATTCTCTGATTTTTGTTGTTTGTTTTGTTATTCAGCTAAGGAAAGAACATCTTAATATGAATATTATGTTGTGCAAGATTGAAAAATAGATCACTTTCAAATTGGTATCTACAAATTGATAAGGCCCCAATACAACAAACTATTCCAAGCTTCACTTACCTTTTTAGCTATTCCTTGCAGACCACTGATAACCTCTGGACTGATATATTCTCTCACACATCTGTCATTATAGAATTGAAAATTAGTACAAAAGTCACATATTTGCATAGTACAAATAAGATCCAAAGACGTGTATTACTTTAGTAAGTATTTTCATAAATTCACATATTTAAATTGACAACAGAATAACACTTATATGGCATCTTTTATTGGCTCATTTTTCTGGCATTATTAAAAAGTTCCGAATTTTTAATGTATAAATATTCTCTCTTAAACATGTATAATTCTCAAGAAACCTGATTTTGTTGTACCTAAAAATACTTAAAAATGTAATAATTCATAAAACCGATAATCAAATGAAAGA